TTTGTACTCTGATTAAACCATATAAACGCAAGGTGCGTTATCTAAAGATTTTCAAATCAATTAATGCTAGGTTAAACGTAAAATTACCGTGAAATGCATAAGTAAATTTCGCTCTCAATCACTGAATAACCGCGATATTTATCAAGGTAAATAAACTAAAAATTCACCAATTTAAGCAGAATCGTCTCATATAGCTCGCAATTGTTACGGGTCTTCATGTACCTCGCTCTTACCGTTGCAGCTATAGTTCGAGTCTCACTAACGTCGCGTTAATCTGGAAGTTGACTTTCATTGTATATTTTTTTTACTTCATAATAATTCTCTTTACTAGCATTTATTATTATCATTTTTTGTTTTACGTGTGCTTTTTACTTTATACTTTTTGATTACTTTTTTTGTTACAATTTCAACATCACTTCTTATAATGGCAATGAGGAATAACTATTTGTTCGGTAATTGCATAAACAGACATAGTAAGTCTAGTTACGTGTTGTGTATGTGTGTGTGTGTCAGGAAAATTAATAGGAGTTTAATAAAGCAAATACAAATAAACAGGCATATTTATTGTCACTTTAGGGGTTTACCTAGGCTGTTTTGAGGACAAACCAAAAAGAGCACTGCCGTCAGCTATCATCATGGGCTCTTGGACGATGACTATAGATAAGTGTTTTACACATTGCATTGATAGTGGATATATGTTCGCTGGTGCACAGTGGGCAGGTCAATGTTTTTGTGGCGAAAATACATATTCCATTTACGGCAAGCGACCAAAAGAGGAGTGCGATAAGAAATGTAACGGGAATAAGAAGGAAATGTGTGGTGGTACTTGGAGGAACTCTGTATATACTACTGGAGGTAACAATTTATGTTCAATATACTTTGTTTTATAGTATGCCCTATGTTATTTCAATATTATTGTCTGCGTCAGAGAATAATATATCTTGCCCTATATGACATGTCATGGTTCTGAATACTCAGTACATTCCTTAATAAAAAAAAAAATAATAATTCGGGTGGGAATCGAACATACTATGCATAGTAAGGCTAGTTGGCTTTTCCCGGCAGATGCTGGAAAAGCCTTTGTTTTTGTTCCAGTTGATTTTTTTCTTGCATATCTTCTCTCCATTACGCCTAGCCAAGTTGATTTGGGTTTCCCAACTGGTCTTTTAATTAACACTTCTTCACTGAGAGCGGTCTTGAAAAATCAATATAATGTAGTTTGATTTGTCAATGAATGTCAAAGAATCAGTTATAAATTAGGCCTAAATCGGTTTACTGTCAGGAATGTTTACTGCATGAAGAAGAACAATATTCCCTCCCATATTATGAGAGCGTGTCAATATCGATTAAATTTTAGTTACCTTCATGTTGTTCGTGCCAGCAAAAGATGAGCAAGAGACAATTGGGGCCTTAGTCAATACAACAATAGAGGGCGTATCACATTGGTCTCTGTTTAACGTGTGAGCATACTAGTCTTGTATTTGCATACCGTAAAGTGTGAAATTAATTGCCCTGAATCGGATTCGAGAATTAATAGCCCAGTTGGTTATGGCATCTTAAAAAAAAAAATAAATAAATAAAAAAATAAAAATGGTTATAACCTCATTTGTATCTCTTTGTCACTATCCCCATAACATATTTGGACTGTTGTGTAAACATTGTGTTTTCTATTGTAGTTACGACACCGACAACGTTGATATATATACAGTCCAAATAATTTCAGGGCAATTAATTTCACTTTTTAAGGTATGCAAATGCAAGACTAGTATTTGATGCTCACACGTTAAACAGAGACCAATGTGATACGCCTTCTAGTGTTTTATACATACATATACATATACATATATATATATATATATATATATATATAATATATGATAATAATAATATACTGATTTAAAATGCAAAGGTCTGAGACCTAAATCTCTCTAAAAAATTATATATGGCTCCAAATGAAACATTCTAGAATATAATAGTTTGTGATATTTTAATGAAGAAATGTTTAAATTATTTCTCTGACGATGCGAAGTCGGGTGTTGTGGATATGAGAACCATTTTAAGGGATAAACCATATAAACGCAAGCTGCATTATCTAAAGATTTTCAAATCAACTGAAGCTAAGTTAAATGCAAAATTACTGTGAAATGCATGAGTAAATTTCGCTCTCAATCACTGAATAACCGCGATATTTATCAAGGAAAATAAACTAGAAATTCACCAATCTACGCAGAATTGGCTCATGTAGCTCGCAATTGTTACGGGTCTCCACGTACCTCGCTATCGCCGTTGCGGCTATAGTTCGAGTTTCACTAACGTCGTGTTAATCTGGAAGTTGACTTTCATTGTATATTTTTTTTACTTCATAATAATTCTCTTTACTAGCATTTAATATTATTATTATTATTCTGTTTTTCGTGTGTTTTTTACTTTATACTTTTTGATTACTTTTTTTGTTGCAATTTCAACATCACTTCTTATAATGGCAATGAGGAAAAACTATTTGTTCTGTTGCATAAACAGACAGAGGCCTAGTAGGTCTAGTTACGTTTGGTGTGTGTGTGTGTGTGTGTGTGTGTGTGTGTGTGTGACCTAGGCCTAGTAAGTCTAGTTACGTTTGGTGTGTGTGTGTGTGTGTGTGGGTGTGGGTGTGTGTGAGTCAGGAAAATCAATAGGAGTTTAATAAAGCAAATACAAATAAACAGGCATATTTATTGTCACTTTAGGGGTTTACCTAGGCTGTTTTGAGGACAAGTCAAAAAGAGCGCTGCCGTCAGCTATCATCATGGGCTCTTGGACTATGACTACCGAGAAGTGTATTACACATTGCCATGATAGTGGATATATGTTCGCTGGTGCACAGTGGGCAGGTCAATGTTTTTGTGGCGATTATACATATTCTATTTACGGCAAACGACCAGACGGGGAGTGCAATAAGAAATGTAACGGGAATAAGAAGGAAATGTGTGGTGGTACTTGGAGGAACTCTGTATATACTACTGGAGGTAACAATTTATGTTCAATATATTTTGTTTTATAGTAACATTTCACACGTACTGAGTATTCAGTACATTTCCACTTCAGGTAGGGCAAAATTACACCTATACGACGTTAGTTACGTCATTATTTTCGTAAACAATAAGAAGTTACTTTAGAAGACTAAGGTGAATAAAATTTACGTTTAAAGTATAAAAATATTAGTTAAGCAGATTGGCACACCAGACTATTCGGTAGAATATTAGGTCCTATGTTATTTTAATACTATTGTTTGCGTCACGGAATAATATATCTTGCCCTATTTGACATGTCATGGTACTGAATACTCAGTACATTCCTTAATAAAAAAAAATAATAATTCGGGTGGGAATGGAACATACTATGCATAGTAAGCTAGTTGACTTTTCCCGGCACATGCTGGAAAAGCCTTTGTTTTTGTTCCAGTTGATCTTTTTTTTCTTACATATCCTTTTTCCGTTACGCCTAGCCAAGTTGATTTGGGTTTCCCAACTGGTCTTTTAATTAACACTTCCTCTCCGAGAGGGTCTTAAAAAATCAATATAATATAGCACTTGATTTGTTAATGATTGTCAAAGAATCAGTTATAAATTAAAACGGTTTACTGTCAGGTATATTTACTGGATGAAGAAGAAGAACAATGTTCCATCCCATATTATGAGAGCGTGTCAATATCGATATTAAATTTTAGTTATTGTATTGTCTTTCGTGCCAGAAAAAGTATCACATTGGTCTCTGTTAGAGTTCCTATGTCTCTGTTTAACGTGTGTGTATCAAATACTAGTGTTGTATTTGCATACCGTAGAGTGAAATTAATTGCCCCGATTCGAGAATCAATAGCCCAGTTGGTTAAGGCGTCTTACAGAAGAAGGTCCCTGGTTTGAATCCCGATTGGAGCAATTCTTTTTACTCTTGCAGATTATTCTTCTTTACCGTTTGAAAAAAAAATGGTTATAGCCCCATTTGTATCTCTTTGTCACTATCCCCATAACATATTTGGACTGTTGTGTAAACATTGTGTTTTCTATTTTAGTTACGACACCGAAAACGCCCGAAACCTAGTAAGTATTTGTTTTATGGCCATAGTCTCCATATATATATATATATATATATATATATATATATATATATAGTACACAAATGTTCATGTGCACTTTAAAGAACCCAGTACATCTTTCCAGATGAGTAGGGGGTTACCCTGGTGTACTGGCCCATACGACCCCTGTTGTCTCGTGATGGAATTGCCACTTTGAAGAGTGATTTAGTTCACTGTTTGGCATATCCTTGGTCCTCGTGCCTAAAGCTAAATAAATTATATTAATCAATGAACAAATGAATGAATAGTAATATTTCATTACAAACATATAATGCAAACTCAGAATATAAATACTTCATTTGAACAACATGCCTATATATATACAAATATATATATATATATGTATATACATGTATGTATATGTATATATATATACATATGTGTGTATGTATATATATTATACTGTATATATATATATATATACATAAATAAATAAATATATATATATATATATATATATATATATGTATATAATATCAACTAATAATACGATTAACAGTTCACTCATATTATCATTTCTATTAAGCCGTGTTCTATATTTAGCTGCTAAGGTATGCTTTCCTTTATTAAAGGTTTCTTAATGTGATGACCTGATGGAAGCAGAACGAACTCTGCCGGTCAAGTCCAGTACCATTTCGATTTTAATCGTACTAGAATTTTACAACAAAAAATTACTAAATTCTTCGCACACTTTCCTTAAACAATGCAGACCTTTATCTCTTCCTCTCTTAAACCATATAAATTCTGTGCAGACTATTCAGTAATACGTCAATACGAGGCCGGTAAACTGTTAAATTCAGAAACTGCAGCCCGCTACCCTCAAATCACCGTTTTGTGTTTTCCAGATCAGTCTCTGATAAAAACTAATACTTTTTAATCTTTTATTTTACAGGTCTGTAATATGGATGTACTGTGGTTGATATTCACTGGTATTTATAGCCAACCAAATCGATCGATAGCCAACCAAACGTCATCATATTTAACTGGCATTTCTTTACAATTATCTAAAGTAATATAAGAGGCTTTTAGATTTTCATTTCTTCATAATTATATAATTAAAAAGTAGTTCTTTCAATTATTTAATTTCAGTTAATTCAATTATTTCTTTTGCATTTGTTACCTTTCACTTCAAACAGAATTAATAGTATTGTAGCACCTTATCAACAATGTTATCTTATAAAGATTTGTCTACACTATACGATACAATACTCCTTTATTGGCATTTTAACAACATGGTAAAAATGATATTAGTATTGATTGATCCGATAGGCAAAAACAGTAGTACGTACAATTCAGAAATATAAACAGAATGAATAAATAGGTAACTTTAAAAAAAAAAATACATTCCGTGAGAGAATCATATGGCTGGGTGGGGATCTCAGGATCAAGAATGGACCACAATGACCCACCAGCTGAATAGAAAAGGGGACAGCGCTGCCCTGAATCTGAAAAACAACCAGAAACTAACACCAAAAGGTAAAAACAATCTTCGAGCCACAGAGAAAGAAAACAGCTAACTGTCTGCTGGTGGAGTATAATGAGTCTCCCAATCACCCGAGAAGGTCCCCACCCACCAATACAAGACATATCAACATTCAATAGAGGATAATTTTCAATTTTATTTTTAACACTATCAAATTTTATGTGACAAAAAATGAGATGTGCCCATATGGCTACGATGACGTCTTTCACATATCAAATTGTATCAAAAAGGTTGAACGTGTTCAACTCTATGTTCCATCACATTTTATGCGACTCTTTTTTTTTAAATGAAATTCGATAGTGTAGACGAAACTTTATGCTGGGTCTAACATCTATCTGCTAGGGTTAAGTTTATGAGTAGGGTTAAGTGGCTGTTATAATCAATTTTGTCGATATCATTTTGGGTTCTAACATCTATTCTGCTAGGGTTATCAGCAATATGCAGTAGAACAGTTGCTCATTCATGACGTAATGAAAGTCAAATAAATATTTCTCAATGATGTGAACATAATAGAATGTTAGTGTTTTTTTTTTTTTGTTTTTTTTTTTATCCTAATGCTTATTCTTTTGTCTGGTTAGTAGCGGCCCAGGTACCGTATCGCAAAATAACGTTTTTTTTGGGGGACCCCGTCAACCCCGCCCTGTGCCCGCCGAGAATATCAGTCCCCTTATTGGGTAAAATACTGGCCCCACAAAATGGACCAGATTACGGTTGGTGATTACCTATTACGTTGGAGTATGCGGTTCAATGGGTTGCCGAGTCCCCCTTTTCTAGCAAGCCTCCTCTTAAAAGCAAAACCAATCCTCAACTTGCATCAAATACCATAAAAAATACTAAAATTTACCATATGCTAGAATGAATCAGCTCCGGGGAACTTCGTCTCCGTCTTCCTTCTCACTGTACCTCTTCACTTGAACCCATCATGGGCAAAGGGTCTCCTGTTGGATCTTCTCAGTGAGAGCAACGACAAGTCACCTGGCCCGGGGCCGACAACAGGGGCGGATCCAGCGGTGGCCTTGAGGGCGGATCTTCTCAGTGTGAGCAACGACAAGTCACCTGGCCCGGGGCCGACAACAGGGGCGGATCCAGCGGGGGGGGGGCCTTGAGGGCCCGTGCCCCCTCCCGTCAGTCAAGCCGAAAAAGAGGGCAGTGGCGGCGCCAGCGGGGAGGCAGGGGGACTTAAGTCCCTCACCGGACAGGTCAAGCCCCCCCCCCCCCGGACTGAGTTGTCGGGCAGTTAGACCATAAAACATATAAAAATTGGCCCACACCAAGCCAACACATGTCTGTCACAGTCCGAGAGTGCCATTTTCGGCCATCCAGAAGTTGATACTCTTTAAAAAAAATCTCATTTGGGAGGGGAATCCCCCTATCAAGCCCTTCTCCCAGCTCGAGCCTACGAGTCCCAACTGTCAGAAAACTAAGCCCCCCCCCCACCAGAAAATATATCCTGAGCCACCAAAGAGGGTAACAAATTTGAGTTAAAGAGAGGAAGAGCTAAAAAAGGAGTGCACCCATGAGTTCAGTGGCGACACAGCAGTGGGCGAAAGGAGAGCTCGATTATTTACCACTTATTGGTGGGGCTGAGGTGGTGGGCGTGAACTTCATATTTCCCCCCGGTCAGAAAATCTCTGGATCCGCACCTGGACAAAGTGTTAGTATTTTATTATACAATTACGAGGTCCCCGTCAAAGTGGAATATCAAGCAATACCGTAGTGTGTGCTATATGTGAATTCTAGTAGCCGTTTACTTTATTTTTTTATGAGTATTTAATTAAACGTCCGTTTGAAGTGGCTGTGGACATTTTGGGTGGGGAATTTATACTAATATAAAAGTGTTGTCAAGTGAGTCAACTTAGGGCATTCGTGAATTGAACACGTCGTATTAAATAGTTTTGTTTTTTTTAGTCTGGTGGCCCGGGACTACTCCAAGTTGAATCTAGATACACTGTATGGATTTCAGACCTTCACACGTTTTTCACAAAGATAAGAAACTGTTGAAATTGTTATCCTATTATTGGTTTCTGACATGGTAAATTATTTGAAATTTGGCTGCAAATGGGGTCTCCCACTAAACAACGACTATAACTTTTTTCTTACTGCCTTTTCGGGCACCGCCCACTTATGCTGCACGCTTCGGGATACAGTAATTTACCTTCAAGTCTTCAAGTTGAAATCGACTGGTTCATTTCATTGAGTACGAATTTTCGTTGCGTATTATCTTCATTCGACTGGTTCGTAAAATAGACTTCGTTGACAACGAAAATTGTCAAGTTAAGTTATGCACGTGACCAAAAAAAAATATGGCCGATTGGTCAGTTTAGCAACAACATTTGCGTTAATATAATTTAGATTTAATTTCAGAAAGTAAAAATTATAATATTTAGGCCTACCTACATTGAAGTCAAAAAATAATTGTAGGCTAAACTGAGAATTCAAGAACTGGATGAAAACATTTTTTTTTTACGAAAAACCCATACTGCCACAATTCGAAGCAGCTTGATTACGCAGCGTATATCGCGGTAACTATGCAGCCATTTTGTTTTGTCGAGTACTAATTACCAGTTTTCTATTCGACTAGTCATCTTCGTTAAGGATTTTACCACTGCGCAGGTGGGCGTGGTTTAAAGAAGAACGACCAGTCGAATACGTTGCTTCCATTAATTTTGTGCGATTTGTGTCAGTCATTTAGGGGGCGCTATTCGAGGAAATAAAAGACTTGGGACATTAATATTTGAGGAAGGTGTACATTCCAAATAAGGCTCTAGAGGGGCGTTTAATGGAGGGGAGTTTATTCAAAGCGGGGTGTTTATTCGAATAAATATTGTGACAAAATAATAACGTTACAGTACAGTTACACTGTGCTATATATTCATTTCATTTCATTTATTCATCAACAATAAAAAAGACAAATAGCATAGGCCTAAATATAAAAATGCAATGATGAAAAGGACAACCAAAAAAACTCAGAAAGAGCTTGTAAATGTAAAAATGTGTAAAAAGTAAAAAAAATAATAAAAGGCCAAGTAAAAAACACTGGCCAATGCCAACAACAGCAAGTAATATACGGTAAGTAAATTGAATAAGGAAACACACTCAACACCACACACACACACACACACACACACACACACACACCCACACATACACACACACACACACCCTCACACACGCGTATGCCCAAAGAAAAACCTGGAAGCAAAAAGGTGAATAAATAAATGAGTGAATAAATAATAATTTATTTTTCTTTAAGAATAAAAATAATAATTATGATTTAAAATAAATATATAAATAAATAAATAAATATTAAATAAATAAATAAATAATGTAAAATCAAATAATAAAAGTAATAAGGAATAAAGAAAATAGTTTCAATCAAAAAAAGATAATAATGTTAATAAATATTAAAGATAATAATATAAATAAAAATTAAAGATATGATATTAATTATAACAATAATAATAACGATAACAATAATTTAAAAAATAATAATAACAACAGTAACAATATTAATAATAATCAAATAGGCATATAAAATAAAATGCAATGGCGGCAGATCGCACAAAATCGCGGTACGAGTTTCCTTGTAAAATATTGAGGGCGCTATAATAATAACAATAAAAAGGAAATTTCGACAGCAAAACATTTTACTTTTCACGATCATGGCAACAGAAGGGAAAGAAAGAAGGTGTTGGATAATTGTGCACCGACAAGATTTAGAAGGTAAATAGCCATTTGGCCATATTCTTTAGATGTTGAAGAATATAATAGTAAAGCTATATATATACATTTGAAGTTACCCATCTGCTTGGTCCTTTCTTTTAGGCAGCTCCTCTGTATGTAGGCCTAGGAGGCCTATTCTAGTCTAGTACTTTAGTTGCATTAGTTAGGCCAAGCCTCAAGGCAGCAAACAAAAGGGTTTTGTGGTTGAGAATAGGCCCTAGGCGTAGTCCCATGGACTAGGCCTAGATAGACATATTTTGGCAGTGACATTCTTACCTTAGTGATTCTTACCTTTAGTGATATAAGGAGGCAATGAGTTAATACTCGTAGAGACTGCCTCCTCTCAATGTTTCCATGTGTCGGTCATAGGAAACTTTGAAGTGGTATTAGTGTTGTGCATGAGACTACATGTTGTGGTAAATTGTTCCATGGTTTAATTACTCTGGTGTCAAAGAAAGAGTCTCTAAACACTGTTTTGTTTCGGGGAGTTAAAAGTTTATAAGAATGACCACGTGTATGATGAGTCCTAAGTTCATGGATGTGAAATGTTAAAGAAACGCTGAAAGTCGATATTTTCAATCCCATGAATTACAATTATTAGTTTAAAAACCTCTATCATTTTCCCTCTAATCCTCCTGTCTTCAAGTGATGGTAAACCAAGGACACGTAATCTATCCTTTGCAGTTAGGTCCTGAAGGTTAAGAACAAGTTTCGTAGCACGATTTTGAACTTTTTCCAAGGCATTAATGTCCATGTGGAGACCATACCTGTACAGCATATTCCATCAAGGGTCTAACAAGGGTTTTATAAAGAGGGATGAACATTTGCTTATCCATATAGGTAAATGTTTTTCTAATTCTACCAACCAAAGAATTAGCTCTAGCAACAACCTTGGTAATATGAGTTGATGGCTTTGGAGTAATAATTATTCCAAGATCACGCTGTTCAGTGACAACTGACAGCTCAACGTCCCCCATAAAGTAAGAAAATTGTGGGTTTCTAGAACCAACATGAAGAATGTCACACTTAGTCTCATTGAACTAAGCAACCATTTACTGCTCCATTTCAAAAGCATCTATATCCGCTTGAAGAATATCAGCATCAATTTTTGTTTTAATTGTCCTGCATCATCTGCAAAAACCTTACCAGAACTACTCAAAACTTCTAACAAATCATTGACATAAATAAGAAAAAGGATCGGTCCAAGGACCGACCCCTGTGATACTGCAGAGGTAACAGAAACCCAAGATGAATAAGTACCTTTCACATTGACACACTGTCGACGATTTAAAAGAAAATCAGATATCCAATAAGGACTTTCCCACGAATACCAAATGCAGATATTTTAGCTTTGAGACGTTCATGGGGGACAGAATCAAAAGCCTTGCGGCAGTCTAGGTAAATGACATCTGTTGGAAGACCAGCATCACGATCGCAATAGAGATCGTGAAAAAACTCAAGCAGTTGGGTTAAACATGACCTACGTGAACGGAATCCATGTTGAGAGGAACTAAGAAGATCAAAATTTTCAAGATGGTTCACTACAGCTTTTCAAACGATTTTTTCAAAGATCTTACATAACCGAGGTGAGACTAATTGGTCTATAATTAGTCGGTGAACTTGGGATCCACCCTTAAAGATAGGTGTCACAACTGCATCTTTCCAAATTATTGGAAGAGAGCCAGAAAGGAACTTCTTGTTAAAGATAATGTAAAGAGGAAGAGAAAGGGAGCTGACGCATTCCTTTAAGACCCTAGGATGAACATCATAAGGGCCGGGTGATGAGCAATTGTTTAATTTCTTAACTATTTCCGTAATGTCATCAGGAGAAAAGAGGATATCCTCGAGTGGTGGGCCTGCAAAATCAAAACTTGGTCTAGGAATGTTGCTGCAATCTTCCTTGATAAAGACAGATTTAAAATAAAAAATTTAGTGAGTCATTTATTTCCCGATGTGTAGTGGAAAAGGATCCATCAGGTGTTTTAAGTGGTGCAATACCAGGTTTTATGGTACAGTTGTTTCGAGCATAGGAATAAAAAGCTTTATGGGTTTTTTTTAACATTTAGGGCAATGTCCCTTTCAAAAAGGTACTTTGCAGTTCGTATATCAGAAACTGAGTTATTTCGAGCTTTGCGGTATGCTTTGTAACGCGTCTGGGTGCGTCTTTTCATGTAACGTTTCCAGGCCAGGTTTTTGGCTTCAATTTTAGCAAGTACTCTTTTAGCCATCCCCTTTTTATTTGACATTTGGGCAGTTGGTGGAACTTTGAAGAAACTTTGAAATGTGGAATAAATTTGGATTTTGCATAATTTTATTTGTCAATAAATATGTCCCACATTTCTTGCGTTGACTTCCCTTCTGGTATAGTTGCCCAGTCGTGAGACGAAAAAAAAAATTCATTTCAACATAATTGCCTTTATTAAATACTTATAACTAAACATTGTGTCTTCAGAGGTGAAGGGGTCTTCAGTGAGAAAGTCAAAACCTAAAACTACATGGTCACTAGCACCAACAGGAGGAAGATAACTAAGATTTTCAATTTCATTTTCTGTCAAAATTGGATTCGGTAGCGATGGTCAGTCTGTTCCTCTAAATCGTGTTAGGTTACGAACATGCTGAAGTTAAAAAATTGTCGTTCACTGTGTCGTAAAAGAGATAGGAACACGTTATATCGTCATTGCGGACTTATAAAATCCGCATACGCTATAAAACTAATAAAAGAAAATGCATACTTTTGGAGTCCGTACTGAGCCCAAAAAATCCGCAATGAAAATATAACGTGTTTAGGGCTCAGCTTCAGTGGAACAATTTAACGTTATTTCCCAATTAATCTCTCGGAAATTAAAATCACCTCAAATATTTAACTGATCATATGATAAAGTACAAATCTTACTTTATTGAACTTCTGATAGAAGTATTGTAATTATATGTAGAATTTGGTGGTCGACAATATCGCAACACTCAATTCATATGGAAGCCAGGTTGGATAAAAGTTTGTATACCTACCTGCCTTGTTGACAATTAATACTAATAAAATAAGGAGGTGGATATATTTACGTGACTGTATTATTTCTCATTTTGACTAAATACAATAACTGACTGCTTTTTTTCTTCATTTTTTACAGGCCGTCAATTATTTTTTGGGGTCATTGTCTTGGTTACTATTCCTGAGTACCCGGTCGTCTGTGGCAGGGCAAATGTGTTTCCGGTTCCTTTGTTCTAGCCACCTAGGCAGAGGTCTGGGAATGTGCTAGGGTGGTGATACACTGATATGGATGGTGACCCCAAAGAGTATTTGCATCTTATTTTGCCTGTCTACCCATCCATGTCAGTTTAACATAAAATTAATATACAAAAACAAATAGGTAAATAAATAAACAAATAATTAAAATAAAATGAAAAACAAATGCAGCTAAACACGGCTACACTTTGCAGGTCGAAAACGGAGCTGTGAGCAACTCTGCTAGAGACGGATATGTGCGCCATATAAGATGATGTTATTATTGTTATTATTATTATTTTATTACCATGACTACATAGGGGCATACAACAGTTTTTTTGTCAAATTTGATAGACTGTACAGGGCTTTAAACCATATAAGATGATGTTATTATTGTTATTATTATTATTTTATTACCATGACTACATAGGGGCATACAACAGTTTTTTTGTCAAATTTGATAGACTGTACAGGGCTTTAAACCATATTATTTAAAAAAAAAACTGTCCATATATAGTCATGATATGCCCATATATAGTCATGATGTGCCTATATATAGTCATGATATGCCTATATATGGTCATGATGTGATGTCATCATGACATGTTTTTGTCAAATAGATTTTAATACTCTGTTCAGGCTTTTATGATGCCTTGATTTTATTTCAACAGATGATGACAAAGTCACGGAAGTTGATGAGAACCAGCCCCCAGTAGCTGTCCTCTTCAGCATCATGGATAGTAGTGCGGAAGTCAAAAGAGCTTTCAGGAAAGCCAGCAATGTAGATAATGAACAACTAATAATCAAAGTAAGTCAGCCTACGAGGCTAGGCCATAATCAGGCTAAGACTGGCTGTAGGCTGTAGCCTATCCCAAATGAAACATCACATGATTTTTACCTGTCTGCTTCGACCATAAAAGTGATCAAGTCTGTAATCTATGATGCCAGGCTGTAGTCAGGCTGAGGCCTAGGTTGTAGCCTAGCCTAAATGAAATCATCACACAATTTTACCAATCTGCCAGAATAGTAAACTCACGACTCATGTTCTTTTGAAAAACGATCAAATATTTATTCATCGCATTGTACTACATATCAATTCAACTGTAGTAGCATGTACTGCAGTAACAATCTGCATATGCACAGCGAAATGTACATACGTGCGCATAAATGTTCTGATCATCACTATAGCAACCTATGACAACAATGAGATTAAATATTAAACAAAAACTTTAATAGGCAGCGATTTACTTTAAAAGCAATTATTGTAGTACTGTATAGTACTTTTCTATACACTAGAGGAAATCATTGGTTTAGATTAATGCTATTCATAACAAAATTTGTATTCATTAATCTAAACCTTCATATAATAATTTCCACTAGTGTGGTATGTTACACAACTGTAAAAATTACTTTTATTGTAATTATGCAAAACCAATGCACTCAAAAACTACTAGGACTACAAACTTACCAGTCTCAAAAACTCTAACTACATACTATAGAATAGATAAAATTTTCGAGATACAATTGAATATCGATCCATATTTTAGATAATGACAGAAAAATGATAATTTTACCATCGTTTTTTTTTTTACTGTACTAGAGCTATTTCACTAGCCATATTTAGTCAGTGCGGTGTGATGTCACTGTACGCAGCACAGTCATTTGATATCTGCTTGATAATTGCTTTATGCGCTGAGATTAATTCTGCTCAAAATTTATTAACAAATTGTAATGGAATTAAAAACAAATTGTAGTGATACTAATTATGGTTCATTATGCCTGTGGTTTGTGCAGTAGGCCTATATCAGAGAAAACTTAAAAATTTAAACATAAATTGCTCATTTCAAAAGAGATGTTTAATACTGTAGATTATCAAGCATGTAATTTTAGACTGTCAGTTTTAGCTGCTAGGCCCAGGCTATGCTGTAATATAAACACCGGGATATCGGTGAATATAAACATAATATTTCCTGTACTCTATTTTAGTAATTTATAACATTCTTGAAAATCTACAAGAATACCAGTACATGAGGAGAACCCCATTTCCTCTAATCTTTTTGAATAGTAAATTATTCCTGCCAAAAATGGTGATGTCGAATAAAAATAAAATTTTATTTTTTGCTAATTACCCCACTCCACGCCATGAAAAATGAAAATGTCAGAAAAAAATAAAAGTTTTCTTTAATTTTATTACGCCCGCTGCTGCCTTGAAATATCCACAATTACGAATTGCCTATTTCTATTCCTAAGTATATAAATTTAAAGCATTTAACCATCTCATTGCTACAGTGTTAAATGTTCACCAATACAATTTTATTTTATTTTCTCCCTCGTCTGGATATATTTGGCAAAAATGTTTGCTAAATATAGGAAACAAAATTTTATTTTCATTTTTTTCTTCCCTCCTCTGTTAGTCTTTATAACAATAAGTCCTCGAAACAAGCTATAAAAATGTTTAGCCTCCAGATGTAAAATGTAGGTTGTTTATAGATAAAGTGACAACAAGCGCGTTGTTAGACCCTGGTTTAGTTCGCGCTTACATGTTTCTGCCCATGGTGAGTGGAGAGGCAAGCTTTTAATACGAAATCCGAGTTTTGATTTTTTTGATTCATGAATACGCCATTGAACAGATTTTTTACACTGGATATTGAGCACCATGTAAATTTGAGCCATTGAATAATGTACTGGCTATGGTACAGTATGTTTCTGTTCGTAATGTGCAATAAAACTTTTCATCCCCAATAAATAATAGTTCATCATCATATTGAACACCATTGATTCTACTGTCATCCATGGCTCATTGCCAACAAGTGCTAAGATTGTTGCATTGCCTTGATTGCCTTCTAATGCATTATTAATGTATTATTACTTGTCTCTGCTAATGTGGTACAGTGCAGTTCATGATAAAGGTTAATGTGATTGGCTCTTTGTTGTCATGTGAACCAGTATTTACAGTCAAATAGTGCACAGAGCAAAATGTGTTTTTCTTATCCAGAAATGCATTTATTACTATAGCAATTTTATTACTTAAAATCTGTTAAATCAGAATTTTTTTTGGAAAATACCTTATTGTCTCTAATAAACGCCCCTCTTCTAATAAACGCCCCTGACTTTTTTTTTCATTTTGCAATGAGTGCCAATCAATTGGGTATCCAGTCCATAAAAAGGTTGACAAACAAGGAGTAATACCTTACTGTGTGCTGCTTTCTTTGATATGAAATGAAATAAATACTACTCAAAAAAGCTTTAGCCTAAACGTTTGATGTTTAGGCCTACTGTCTTCACGATCACTAGGCCTAGGGCCTAGGCCTATTTTGTGTTTCTCTCATGGTATTTCGTTAGCCTTGTAAAAACAGGGTAAGCTGCAAACTGATGGCAAACGACGGGTAATCATGTATTGTTAATGTGTCGCGTGTTCGACGCTGATTTGATTCGAGGTGTCTGGTCAATGAAGTCTATACCGTAGTGAGAATGTTTCTTCAAGTTAAGGGCAGTGTTCTGCATGCGGTGGTGCAGTGCTAGTTCATGAGGCCGACATGTTTTTGACAAGCACGTGATTGCTGTGAAAGAGAAGCACCGCGCTGCATCGTCGGACATCTACCCCAAGAGAACTCGAAGATATTTCATTTCTTTTTGAAACACAAGGAATTATTGATGTTCAAATAACCAGCAACAAACGAAGGAACAGCAAAATAGCAGGAGGCCTGGAGATACCCTGCACATTAACTTGTTCCTCTACAAATAAAGAACTTATTGACCGTTTAAACAGCTTGTTTTAGTAATTTTTGATTTTACAATTCACCTAGTAAACGCCCCCCCCCCCTTTTGAAAAAATGCAACGCCCCCGGGGCGTTTATTAGAGACAATTCGGTACTTTTTTTATCATTCGCATTATAGAATGTTAAATTTGTTTTTGTCAGTCATACTGCGATTGATGCACCTGGAAATACAATAAAAATTATCTATAATTATCAGTTAGTGGTGTATCTCTATACCAAAGTTACCATCATGTGCTTTTATAAGGAAAATGATACCTTTCGGTTTAAAGTCCTCTTCTGACTATCATATTTTTCTTCATTTCTGGTTTTATTATCCAACTCATCGCAAACTTAGTTGAATTATGAAAAAATTTACATAAGCAAAAAAAAAAACAGACTTAACAACAATCACAACAAAATTAAGCCAAAAAATTCAATAGAAAAACATAAAAAAAAAACCTCCAAAAAAAGAAAAACACATCAAGGCAACAAGAAGTTAACCCAATAACGATAAAATACATCAAGAATTAAAAATATAAGAATCAGCTCAGAAAGGGAAACAATTTTCAAAAGGATTAAAAAGACTACTGTATAAACAATAAACCAGTAGCAACAGCAAACACAGCACAAATGCAGCAAAAAATGTATTTTATTTCACCGAAAACTGTTGTATATCTATATCATCATGATGTGATGTCGTCATAAATATATTAGGTCACATTTTTTTGTCAAATAAAATTTAGGCTTTAAGGCTATTGTTTGTAGTATTTTATTTGCCATTAGAATTAATTATTGCATTAACGTCCTGGATTTTAAAAAGGCAATTACAGCAATTATATGACTTTAGAGACCAACAACAGCTCAAAATTTCATCCAGTTTTGACAGCGATTACTAGGCATCTGCAGGCATTCTCATCACCACAGCTGGTAATAATGATAACGACAATCTCATATTGAATCCATCATCACAACAGTTATGATGTAGATTTCTGTTTTGTTTCTAACTAAAAATAAACTGTCTTGATTCATATCTGTAATAGCCTTAGCCTATATTTAAATATAATGTATTAACAATTATTCAAAAAAAAAAAAAACAATTATTCAAAAATTAAAAAAAAAATGTTCAGTATTTTTAGTTACCAGTTAACTGAATATTAATTACTAATTCTTATCAGTAATAATATTAGCCTTTTAGATGTAATAAACATAAATAATTTAAAAGTTCAGAATATGTTACAGTATTTGTAGTTACTATCAGTAATAAGTTTATTTAAAATGAAATATGAGAAAATATCATTTTTTAACATTTTTTTTTTCAGTTGAGAAATAAACGTGGATCAGTGATACCTATAAATGGTTTTGTTGCTCCAAATACCAAACATATGTAAGTTTTATCTATGTTGAATTTGTTTATTTCTTGTTTAAAGTTTCACAAATTTTATAG